GGTTGGAATGATGTAGGAAACAAGGAACCCTCAACCATTGCTGGTGGTAATGTCAACTAGCCCTTATGGAAAACAGCACAGAGACTTCAAATAATCAAGAATTGAGTTTCTTGGGGCTGGAGCAATAGTACAGTGGGTAGGGCATTTTCCTTGCATGCAGTTGACACGGGTTCGATTCCCAGCATCCCATATGATCCCCTGAGCACCACCAGGAGTGATTCCTGAGTGCAAAGCCAAGAGTAACCCTTGTTTATTGCTGAGTGTGACCCCAAAAGCAAAAAAAAAACAAACAGACAAAAGAATTGAGCTTCCATACGACCTAAAAATTCCATTTCTTGTCATCTACCCCAAGGGCCCAAAAATATGATTTCAAAACAGGCCTCCATGCTCCTATGTTCACTGTGGCTCTGTTCATTATGGTCCAGTTCTGGAAACAGCAACAAGAACTGACCCAGAACAGGGAGGGAAATTAGAGAGCTAAAGGAGGTTATCATAATTAGTTGTAAAGTTCCCTGTCAAAATAACCTAGAAACAAATGTGGTTTGGTGATGGTGGAATCAGAGAGGGAAGAAGATACCAACTAATCCAGTAAATTGAATTGGACATTTTAATCTTCTCCAAATGATGAATTTGAGTGTTAGACAGCCAGATAAGAGGAAAACAAATTGTAAGGAGCAGAGATTGCATATCTACAAAAGGTGCACAGGAGAAAAAACTTCCTCTTTGATACCTCAACTATCCTTGGGCAGGGCAGGGATGCAGCAGTTGTCAACCTTCCTGAGAAATTTGCAAACAAAGGAAAGCCCATGGGTCAAAGAGCCCCAGGTCTAGGGGCTTTGAGACACAGACCCATAATGCCCAGTGATTGACTTCAGTGGGTCTCCGAAGGGGAGAAGCGTAAAGGACATCTCAGCAGGTGGGACAGGGCAAATGATATTATACCCTAGAAAGTAGACAGTTGCTTAGGAACAGGACAATATCAGATATGGATAAATGAGAGAATCTTCAACAAGGGTGGGACCTAGAATGACCTACTTAAACTGTACTATAAGAAAACTATTATTTATGATAGCATCAATCTTTGTATGGAAGTTTTACATAAAAAAAATTAAATCTCTCACTCAGAAGCTATACAGTTTAACCTTCAGGCTGTCAGAATCCTACCTGAAAATATCGTCTAACAATCCCAAAGTATCGGTCATTTTAGAAAATGCAACTGGGATTACATTTCAGAGATTCTCTTATCACTTCTGGTACCTCACCTGTCTCAGAAGAGGCCTTAAGGGACATAATCCATTCTAAATAAATGCCTTTCACAACAAGGGTATGACACATGTGAAAATCACTTCAGAAGATGACATGTTGGCTTAGAGGAAGAGTTTATTTCAACTTGATATTTATTGGCATCCCTGAAATAAACACAAGATTGACAGTGGGATCAAATATATTCTAATCTATGGTAAACCCCAGAAATATTATGCTCCTTAGTTATCATCAATGTTTACAGATGTATGGCCTGGTGGTTACAGAGGAAATGACTATGTTTGGTTGGTTCCTTGGACACTGCAGATTTGGTGCCCTCCTCTAAGAGAATTGTAAGTAAAGTAAGTAAAGGCCCTCCCGTTGATCGTCGATTTGCTCGAGCGGGCCCAGTAACGTCTCCATTGGAGACTTTGTTGTTACTGTGTCTGGCATATCGAATACTCTCGGTAGCTTGCCGGGCTCTCCGAGAGGGGCGGAGGAATCGAACTCGGGTCGGCCATGTTGGCCGCTTGTAAGGCGAACGCCCTACCGCTGTGCTATATCGATGATCAACGGGAGGGCCTTTACTTTACTTTACTTTACTTCTAAGAGAATAGGTTTTTAGTCTCCCTAATACCAAAGAATTTACAGACCTGTTTCAGGTTTGACTGAGCATATAAATATTAGTGAACCCAAATTCTAGATTAGAGTAATATAACTGAATGAACCAAGGATGAACCAATAAGTCTACCAGACCTACAAAAATGGCTAATGTTAAACAATAGATAGTGCTGGTGTGTGGAGGCACAGGACTGGGAGAAATTTTCAGAGAACTGCACAGGGTATTGTGTGCTCTGCCCCCAAGGCCTTTCAATAATCTGGTCTAGCCATTGAATAACAATTCCAAAGATAAATAAACAAAGGTAAGATGAAGAACAGATTGTAAAAAGAGATAATTGGCAGAAGAGGGGATCATGGTGCTCTTCTGTAAGTAGTTCTTAGGAAGAGGACATTTGACAAATACTTGGATGTAATGATGGAATGAACCATGTAGATGGGAAGAAGGTAAAGATTTTGAGCTGGGGTTTTCATGTTCTGAGCCAGGTTTTACTAAGCATGTTAGTTTAAAAGCAGTGAAATCCAGTAATCAGTAATCGTGGAAAAGAGCTGTGGCCACAAGAACCATGAGAGACTGGATTATGGATAATAGAGTGGGAATTTTTCTCTAGCTACAATGGTAAACCAAGAGAAGATTTTATTATGTGAATGAAAGTCTTTTAAGGTTATTTTTTTTTTGCCAAACTTTCTAAAATTCTTAAAATTGAGTAAGGGTTCTCCAGCCGTTACTGTTTGGCTTGACGTCCCAAAGAAGCAAGAATTAAAATTTCATGTATTAAACAAATATAGATAAACAATATTCTGGATAGTTGTATAATTTCCCAGATGTAAATGGTAATAACATCCTAAATTGAGAAATAATAGCAATAAATTTATCTAGCTGTTCTGAACTGGTGTATGAAAGCACTTGGGGCAAAATCAATTACTGCTAGGAGTTAGAATAAAATATGAAAATTATTTCTTAATATGTCCTCTCATAATGTGCATTGTGTATATAAGTGTTAAAAATGCTAAAAAAGTAAATAAGAGTGTTTATAATACTGAACTTGTAAGATGAAGTTGAGTTCAATATTTGTTTTGCCACAAACATATTTGGTTGACCTTAAACAAATTCCCCCAACACCACTGAGTCTCATTTTCTTTATTCCTAACATGAGCATAATCATCTCTAATTCATAGATAATGTATGTTAAGCACTTAGCCCAGTTTTTACCACATAGTAAGCATATTAAAATAATTATATCTATAATAACAATATTATTTTTGTCTCTGCTATTATTGTTACATATTAAGTAGGCTAAAATAGGTTACAATATTTGCATTCTGTTCACTAAAGCATAATTATTAATGTTTATTCCTATTCTCATAATTATTGATATTGTAAGTTTCTAAAAATAGCATATACAGAAACAAAGAAACAAATCCTGAGAATGCAAATAATTTGGACATATAAGCAATACAATCTTTCATATAAATTAGCATACAATTTTAATTTTAGACTATCCAACCTCTGCTCACTTTTATTAGTGTTCAAATATTTTTGTTTAAAGAATGACTAGTAATGCCTTCATCCTTAAATTACTCTGACATCTTGATGATAATAAATATTTAATAAATTTTGGCCAAAAGAAAGTGTGTGTGTGTGTGTGTGTGTGTGTGTGTGTGTGTATGTGAGAGAGAGAGAGAGAGAGAAGGGGGGGGGAGAGAGAGAGTGGAATTTGTGGAATTTTACTAATTTGTGGAATAGCAAGAAATAAAGCAAGTAAAATAAAAAAAAATTCAGATACAGAGAACAGATTGAAAGTTCCCAGAAGAAAAAGGGTTAATTAGGAGTAACTGCAAGGGGTAAATGATGGAGTGATGGGTTGGCCATAGAGTTTTGGTCATGATCATAATACAGAGAGTCATTTCTCAACATTTTTTTTCAACTGTGGCCTGGTTCACTCTCTAGTCTTATGCCAAGGGCCCTTATTTATATGATTTTATCTATTTCCCTGGAAATATCCTGGGCTTTCAAAGAGGATTATGACTTCTCTATTGAAAAATTACTGTATACAATATACAGATATAAAAATTACTGTATACAATATATTTAATTTTAGAATTGCACATATGTCACATACAATATTATAAACCAGTGTCACCTTAATAAAATTAATTTAAAACCATAAAGGTAAAGGTAAAGGCCCTCCCGTTGATCGTCGATTTGCTCGAGCGGGCCCAGTAACGTCTCCATTGGAGACTTTGTTGTTACTGTGTCTGGCATATCGAATACTCTCGGTAGCTTGCCGGGCTCTCCGAGAGGGGCGGAGGAATCGAACTCGGGTCGGCCATGTTGGCCGCTTGTAAGGCGAACGCCCTACCCGCTGTGCTATCGCTCCAGACCATAGTTTCTCATAAAGCTAAACACAGAATTGCTATAGGATCTAGTAAGTTTACTTCTATGAACATGCTCCAAAGAATTGAAAGCAAGGACCAAATAGATGCATGCATGCCAATGTTCATGGTAACATCATCCACAATATCTGAAAGGAGGAAATTCTTCTGATTTTCATCAAATGAATGAACTAAACATTATATGTAAATAAAAAGAAGTATGATGCAATCTCAAAAGTTGAGTCCTGATACAATAATGATACTGGAAAAACAGTATGCAATTGTAAAAATTAAGATGTAACAATATTTTCATATTTACTTATGTGAGGTACTTAGAAGAAGTAGAAAGTACAACAGAAGTTGCCATAACTTGGGGAATGGCAAAAGTATACTATTTAATGTGCATAGAATACAAGGTATTAGAAATATATAGATGAGGTCACAAAACATATACAAAGTTATATTCACTGAATTGTACCTTTAAAACAGTAAATATTACATGATATATATTTCGACACCATTGAGAAATAGTCATTTCAGAATTAAAAAAAAGTAAACTATCTCCAAAAGTAAATTAGTAAATATTGTTCAAATAATACAATTTATTTAGAGGTCCTTATTGGATTATCCATTCATTTTTCTTTGAAAATCTATTAAGTATTATGGTTGTTTACCCAACTCATTTCACAGAGCATTATGTACTTACGTTATTGTTTAGTGCAATGGAAATGGGACATTCATTTTCTTTTTTTTTTTAACATCACCAGAAATAAAACTTTCATTTGTTACCAATGAACATATGAATTTTAAACAGATTCTTGGACTGTTGGTTCATACCCATTAGCCCTTTAACTTTAACGCCTGTCTCATCTCCAGTAGCTTTTCCAGAACTGCTACCTTCACCATGAAGCTCCATGAGTTTTCCTAATTCAAACTTAAGTTTCTTCAGCATTTTTACTTTTCTAACAAAGACATCATGGAGTGGGTAAATAGACTGGCAAGCCTTTTCTATGTCTTTTCCAATGCTGTCTGGAATCAATTTATTGACCACCTCTTTTAAGTCATTTGTCTGCACCTCCCGAGTCATGATCTCCATCATCTTCTTCTGAATCTGGCGAACCTGCTGATGCTGAGCATAAGAGGTCTTCCTAATCTGGTTATTGCACTTCTTAGTGAAACCAACACAGAATAGACGAAGCAAATAACCATCGGTAGTCTTGACATCAACATGAGCCTCAATCATGGTCTGCCATTTTTTGACCATGGAGCACATTTTGTCACGGGTGAGGTCCATGCCATGGAAGTTTGTCAGGCAGGTTTTTCCCTGAACATCCTCTGTAATCAGCTTGAATTTTCTAAAAGCAACTTCATCGTTCTGCAGGTCAGCAAGACTCACTTCAAATACACGACCCTTGAGGCCATCAGATGCAATTTTGGTTCCCTGGGTTCTGGTGACAAGCTTTTTCTCAGTATTTCTTATATTAAATATTGCGGGTGCTTTCACGTCATACCAGTCTTTCTTAGAAAATGGATCAACCACTTTCTTCTTGACTCCCTTTTTGATGCCTTTGGTAAGGTGCTTATTTTTGCTGACCGCCAAGGTGTCTCTCGGAGAGCCGAAAGGGGGACATTCATATTCTTATGCCCTGTAATGTTTTGTATTAATCTATTGTGATAATTTGCTGCATCCTGTCAGATTTTGCTTCAGAGATGCACAGTTTCCCAAGTATAATTACTAATATGTTATGAGTTTTAATATTAACATCTAGGCAAATAGAATGGCTCTAAGAATATCCAATTACTAAGACTTCCATTCTCCAAAAAATAAAGTTACGTATCATGCAGAATTTTATAGCCCAGTGTCTTAAAACACAAGTGAAATATACTAAAAATCTATGTTCCAAATAAAGCTATAGTCCTCTCGTAAAAGGATCTCTTAGTAAAGTGTTAGTACTTTGCTATTTTTTTAGTTTAAAAATAAACTGAGAGCTACAAATCACTGACAAACTGGAGAAGCACATGCAGCTCTAAAAATCTGTATCAATTTTCTTTCTCTTTAACTGAAAGCAGAAAAGTTCTAAGTATATTCCTAGGTTCATTTAACTTAAACTGCAATTCTTTCCAAGGTTGGCATTAGTGTCTTTCCTTATCCCCCCTCCCTCCCACCAACCACTACCCTCTTCCCAACAGTTAAATGGAATTTGGTAAAGCAAATGTATACAAATTCCCCTTGTCTGAGGGAAATCACCATTGGTGGAGGTGTGTAAAGAAATCAAGAGCTAATGTTATTTTGGAACTGTGTATCTGCTCACTAAAATGCACCCTTGTATCCTGCCTTCCTCTGTTATCTGTTTATCTAAGGAAAAACAGCAAAAAATAACATAATGTAAAATTAAAGCAAATAACAGTGTTGAGGCAATTTAATAAAAATAATCTGAAACTTTAAACGACATGCTTGATTTTTTTTTATAAAAGTCTATACAAGATTCATTTTAGTTTAGCTTTAGTTAAGGGTCATGCTTTTGTACTCCAGAAGCAGTATTAAACTGGACGTGGGAGGTTTGCTTTCTGTAAACACATAAGAAAGTTCCTGATGATCAACCTTAATGTTATAAACCGTAAGATTTCATAGCACTTAACCACTATTAGCCTAATTGTTTAATTGTGGGGAATAAATTGCCCCAGATTATGTTTTTCTCAATAGTTCTTTAGTAAATCTGAACAAATGACATTTTAATGAATAGAAAAGTTTGAAGGCTTAAAACCCAAGATAAGTGTTGAATTGTGGGAGCTACAATTTGATAGGGGTTTTGGAGAAATATGGTCCTCACTGCTCCTCACTCAAATTTTGTGCAATTTAAAAGTTTTTTTTTTTAATATAATACACATAGCACAGCGGTAGGGCATTTGTCTTGCACGCAGCCAGCCCAGCCGAGCTGGGTTTGATTCCTCCACCCCTTTCGGAGAGCCTGGCAAGCTACCGAGAGTATTCAATATGCCACACACAGTAACAAGAAGTCTCACAATAGAGACGTTTACTGGGTCCGCTCGAGCAAATTGATGAACAATGGGAGGACAGAGACAGAGATTTAATACACATGATTTCAACCTTCCTGTAACCAAGGAAAGTTCATTGTTAGAAGCTACAATGTGAGATTTTGGATCTCAGAAGTGCTAAAAAACTTGGTGGGTGAAGACGGTTTACTTAAAATTTAAGCTAACAACAGAATTACAATATGATTTGTTGAAGAAAATCTACATTAAGATTATATGCATACAATTCAAGTGGCAATGCACTGAGAGGGGGAGGGAATGGGAAGGGAGCTTTAGATAACTAACTGGTGGGTGTTGATTATACCAGTATACATGTTGATGCTTATACACATGTGCCTTATTCCCATGTGTCTGTTTGCAATGAGGGATAGTTTACTTCTGAGTGAAACTTCTCTGATAGTTTTTCCCAAAACCTAGAGCTTGTACTCCAATATGTTAGAGATTAAAATAATATTGAGGGCTGGAGCAATAGCACAGCAGGTAGGGCATTTGCTTTGCACGCAGCCAACCCGGGTTCGATTCCCAGCATCCCATATGGTCACCTGAGCACCACCAGTAGTAATTCCTGAGTGCATGAGCCAGGAGTAACCCCTGTGCATCGCCGGGTGTGACCCAAAAAGCAAAATAAATAAATAAATAAATAAAATAATAATAATATTGAATTGGTAAAGAAAAACTTCATCCACTTACTGTTGAGCCAAGTAAAGATTAAAAACTTCTCCCTGGAATTTATAAGGCCCCGTCTGTGGTGCTTTTGTAACTCTCTGTTGACTGTGTACTCCTTGCTAGCCCTTGGACCTTGCCAGTGACCATCTGGGCTGATTCCCTGTCAGTGGCAGACAAATGTACCCTAACATTGAGTAGGTATAATAAACTATTTTCTCCTTTTTGATCGTGTGATTGTAACCATATCTTGTTCCCCTCACCTCATATTTATTTATTTATTTTGTTTTTTGGGTCACACACAGCAATGCAAGGGGTTACTCCTGGCTCTGCAATCAGGAATTACTCCTGGCAGTGCTCAGGGGACCATATGGGATGCTGGGAATTGAACCCAGGTAGGCCGTGTACAAGGCAAATGCCCTACCTGCTGTGCTATCGCTCCAGCCCTTCCCCTCCCCTCTTGTTGATTATGAGCAATGCATCATTTTGCTACAGATTGCAATTAATCTTACATGCTTTAATTGATATTTTAGTTTACTATATGCTGCAATGTAGTTTTAAGGTGAAAGTTTTAAGGTGTGATCATGGTCTTTGTGTCACTTATCAGAGATATGAGGACCCAATTCACAGTGCTTTGAGTGGGGTGGACCAATAAAGCTTCTGTCTCCATTGGTTTCAGCTCTCATTGAGTTTCGTAGAACTCGGGTGCTATGGTCTTTAGATTCTAGTAGGCCTCTCAAATGGACTTAATTCTGTGCCGATAACACATATTTATGACATATTTTTGAGGCATATTATCAGGGTTACCACTTAATTTTAATTTAGATTGGGCCTCTTGACATATGCAGATTTTTATCCATTCTTTCCTTGACAAGGTCATTTATCAATGTCTTTATAAACACGTGATTGCTTTTTGATTGATACCTTGTTACTTTATTTCCATTGTCCCCGCCTTTTCATCAGTAAGGGTCATTATAATATCAACACAAGATGACATTGTGTTGTCAACTCCGTTACTCAAAATCATTACAGTCCCAAAACCTGTAGCAGAAATACAATGTGGTTAGAGAAAGTATTTATCTAAAGCAGTGTTTCTCAAGCTGAGCCAAATGCCCTCTCTTCAGGGGGTGAGGGGCTGAGGGGTGGAGGAAATATTCTACAGGAGCCACAGGTGAAAATTATGTCAATGGTGGATTAACTCTAGCTTTTAGTATTTCTTTGAGAAGTTGAAGTCATTTTGATGTCTGATTCCCTGTAATTGACCTGATTTTGCTCTTTGGTTTGGAATTTTGGCTGTTTTCCTTATTAGAATAGTTTATGATAATGAAATTTATTTGAGGTTTCTAATACTTGTACTGAATACTTGATAGGTGATTTTATTGTCACATTTTGATTATTTCTGGAAACTATAAACTTTACTTCTTTTGTTGCCATAAAATAAATAAATAAGAGACTAATGCTTAAACTGACTTAAAAGCAAATTATAAAATGGGGGAGGCACTGGATTGAAAGGGAACCACAGTTAGAAAAAGTTTGATAAACACTGCTCTGAGAGTCTAGAACAAAAAGGATGAAGGTGTGAGCAATGAGTCAGAAAGTTTTTGTCCCTTTAGAAATAATTTTTATTTAGTGATAAACATTATTACTAAAACAGCACTTGCAGCACTAAAACGCGCGCGCGTGTGTGTGTGTGTGTGTGTGTGTGTGTGTGTGTGTGTATGCGCGCAAGGATCTGAGGTGAAGGCTTGAGATACCACTGTGAGCTACAAATCTCAACTAAGCATGAGACTCAGGCACTGAGTTACAAATTGCTCCTTTGTTCCTCTTTTACCAGATGCTAATTTTAATGTATGAATTGCCCTGAGAATTAATCGTAGAAACAAATTTTAAATTTAAAACAAATTAACTCAAAAACCCCTCCTAAATAATATTTTCCCCTTTTTAAAAATTTAATCTTCATATGGACTCATATGATCTTTTAAAGTTATAATTACTTTACGTATGCAACTTTCAATTCAATCTTTTCTATCTCAATTTTTGTTAAACTGATTTTGTGTGCCTATTAGTTTTAAATGAATGTGTTTTGTGGCTTTGATGGCCTATTCCTGCAGTGCTTTGCAGTTTAGCTTTATAAATCTTTCATGGTCAAAAATAATATAAATTAAGACAATGAAATTCCTTTCAGAGGGGAACTATCTTTATAAAAGTATATTGGCAAAACCTGCAAGGTGAGACATTAAAGTGTCAGCTAAGACAAAGACTTTTGAAAATGTGTAAAAGCGTGTGAAAGAGACCAAAAGGTGAAATGATTGAGACAATGAAAAGCGAGTGGTAAAAGGAGTCATTGCTCATTTTTTTGTTCACTATTGATTCGCTTTTATTCCCTCTTGTTTTTATTCTATTTTTTGATATATTTCAAGAGAACACATATACCTGATAAGAAATGCTTTTTGATAAAATGAATTATTTCTAGAAGATCGTCATTAATTTTATCATGTGCATAAAATATAATAATCAATTCCTCCAAATATTATTCATAGCATCTATAGATTAATTAGTCATTAAGTGAACTCAGTCTACCCTAAGTATCAGAGTGATGAAAAGAACCGCCTGAATTGCACCGAGACAAAGAGAACCTGGAGAATCTGCACTGACTATAATATTTGCTAGTTACATTATATCCCCCGGTATTTAGCTCTTATGTTATTGAGGTAGGGAATAAGATATTTGAAGCTGGAGAGATAATAAAGTGGGGGAAGGCATTGCCTTGCAAGCAGCTACTTAGGTTTAATCCCCAGCATCTCAAATGGTTCCTTAATGTCCAAACAGGAGTTTCCCTGAGCACGCAGCCCTGAGAATTGCTGTGTATGACATTTAAAAAAATTTACAATAAAAAAAAGCTTATTTATTTATTTATAACTTAACAGATTATGTAATCTCCCTAGTGTCCTTTTTTCTCTTTTTTAAATGAAACATACACCTACACATAGAGTCATTAAGAATGGAAGTTAATGATACTAAGTCTTTAGAAATATCTTTGCACTATTGTGGTTTCTGCTGTTTACTCAGCTTTCTGAAAGTATTTTTAGTTTTATTTATTTCCCTTTTGTTTATTTTCAATCTTTTCATTAAAAAATAATATCAGAGAGCATAATAAAATAAGATGTGGAGACCAGAGTTTTCAGTCCTCTGTTTCATATACTTAACTGAATTTGAAAAGTTATTTAGGCTTATGTGTATTTTTTATATATGTGCATATATTATTTATAAAATATATCAATATGATATGTATTTAACATAGACAAAGAAAAAAATTATGTTCCTATTTCTTAAGTTAGCTGCTGTGAGCCAAACTTCTTAAGAGTTACACAAAAATGATTTCATGACTATAGAATCAGAGAAGTCTATAAAATGAGAAAAAATTTCTGCTTCCTTAATCTCAATTTAAAGGAGAATAGCATTCCTTTTAAATAGAGATGAAGGAGTTATTTCCTCATGAGTTTTCAAGGAATGGGTAGTAGGTAAAGTAAATAATGACTAAGACTAATTTTTATTCTGGAAGTAACTTCAAAAATAGCACTTACTTAGTAGTTAATAAAATGAACTGTGAAAGTTGGGTTCAAATTTTTACATTACTTTTAAAAACTGAGTTATCATATGCTTTGTGGTTTAGCTGTGGTTTAGCATCATCATTTTTCATTGAAAACAATAGCATATAATGCATGTGTTTTTTTTAAAATTTTTTAAGGATTACTGAAATCATATGTACATGAATCTTAGAATTCCACCTCACACATATCAGCATGCAAAAAACTATCATTACTATTACAAACAATGAAATATTATATAAAATGAGAAAAACCTAAATCCAAATTGCATTTCTTTCATGATATAGTTTTGTGCAAACCAAAAGTTCTTAGAATTCTGTGATGACTAGATCGAATCCAGAATGATAATTAAATGTAACTGAATGAACCACTAGTTCTTTGGGCAACCATCCTTATATTCAGCTTAGTTTGCAATAGCTCTTGATGATTTTGTTTGACAAGTACTATTTGACAAATACTTAGTAGTTGAGATTTTCCAAATTGGTGATTAAGTCCCAATGTATGTGAGGTATTTTAAAAGACTTCAAAGTGATTTCAGATCCATCAGCTCAATACAGACATGCCTGGATAGAAAATCAACCTGAGAATCTATTCTAATAACTAACTAAAGCATATTTTAAAAGAAAAATGAGAAAGAGCACTGTCAAGTAAAAGAAAGGAATTAAATGCCCCAAGTTGCAATGAGGGCGACTACCAATAGAGGGCACCCCAGGAAGTAAAGAAAAGGGTTTTTGTGTTCACAATAGAGGAGTGTGGATAGCTCCCCATAGAAGTGTGCTCTCACACCTTTTGGGAGGTTTGATTTCCTCTTTCTGTAATCTGACCCCCAGCCTTTGCTGCTATGTTGATTTTTTATGCCCTTGTCCTCCAAGTTCTTTTTCATGCAAATACCCTGCATGAGATTTTCACAGAATCAATTTTCTATCACCACTATACCCCTCTCGGAGAGCCCGGCAAGCTACCGAGAGTATTCGATATGCCAAACACAGTAACAACAAAGTCTCCAATGGAGACGTTACTGGGCCCGCTCGAGCAAATCGTCGATCAAGGAGAGGGCCAATTTTCTGTCATCCCCTCTGTTTTCAGGTCTTGTTCTGCTTTTAATTTTTTTTTTCTCCTTTGGGGCACAGTGGGTAGGGTGTTTGCCTTGCATGCTGCTGACCCTGTTTTGATTCCTCCATCCCTGTCCTTCTCAGAGAGTCCAGCAAGCTACTGAGAGTATCCCGCCTGCATGACAGAACCTGGCAAGCTCCCCGTGTCATATTTGATATGCTAAAAACAGTAACAAGTGTCACAATGGAGACGTCAATAGAGACGTTACTGGTGCCCACTCAAGCAAATCAATGAACAATGGGAGGACAGTGCTACAGTGTTTTTGGAGACAAACTTGGTGTTGCTCTGGGCCTGCTCCTTGCTCTGTGCTCAGAGATCAAACCCAGGCTTGCATGCAGAGCTTGCTAATAGTCCAATGATCGATTTCACTGGCCCTGCCTTTATTTCTTTACTTATATTCTGACATGATGTCAAACCTGGGTTTAAAGGTTAATATTTTTTAAAGGCAGATGCACAACTTAAGTGTCAAAAACAGATGAACAACTTTTAAAATTTTTCAGTGGTGGTGTTTGCTGAAGCCTGTACACCTCTTTGAGATGCTTATACACACCCTGCTGTGGGTCTCTAAATCTCTTTGCAGTGTCAGGGATCGCACAGGCTCCAACAGCAAATCTGCCAGGATCAAACGTGGTACATATGGAGCCATAGGAATTTGAACTTATGATTTTATGATTGCAAGGCAGACACTCTAAGTCATTGAAATAGTCCTCTAGGCCTGAACTACATGCTTTAAATAAAAGTCCACTCAGTTATTTTTCAAACAGCAAAAGTAGAGTCAGAGACAGAAGGCAGAAAAAAATAAACTCAAAGTAAGAATAGACTTCAGGAAAATTGATATCTGGGTCAATCAACGCAGTACTTTTAAAAACTGTGACATTTAACAGAAGGTGAAATGCACAGACTTTCCATATGTAGATTGTCAGGTTTTGACAGATTTTTGCTTATATCTATCAGACCCTTTGTTAAAAAAAATGCTATATCCATATCCATTATTTCAGAAAGTTATCTGATAACACTTCATGTCAATTAGGAATTCCTGTTTTTGTTTTCATGGTCATCATTAGTTTTGTTTATTTTACATAAAATTATTTACATAAATAAGTCTATTTTGCTTAACATGATTTAATTATTTAATCATATTACTGTGTATAGTTTGTTTCTTTTTACAACAGTATTACTATACCAAATTTAGTATAGATTAACCAAATGAACAGGATGGTTGGCTTTCCTAATAAACAGAATACCAAGTAAAAATAGTCATTAACATTTTATAGGGATGGTGTATTGAATCTGGGGCATATTGCCATGTTAATAATACTG